TTAAAAGCTGCGGTGAAAGTGCGGTTTTACATCTGCTTGCTGAACTCTTGTAGCGCGAAATGCGTGCCCGCCGTCTGAAATCATGCAAAAGTACGCCTGTGCAAAAACATCCGTATATAAAAGCTCCTCGTGTAAATCCATTCCTTTGTAAAAGCACCTCTGTGTGTGATGGTATCTGTGTGTAAAGCTGCTCAGCGTAAAATGATCTCTGAATAAAAGTGTGTGTGTGTGTAAGAGTGTTTCTGTGTGTGCCATCTCTGTGTGAAAGCATCTCTGTGTAAACGTATTTCTGCGTACAACTATCTCTGTGTAAAAGCGTGTGCGTTGAAAAACATCCATGTTAAAGCGCGCGCGCGGGTGTGTGTGTGTGTTTGTGTGCGTGAAAAATGCCTGGGTAAGAAAAACATCATCGTGTAGTCCTAAAGTATCTCTGTGTAAAACTATTTGCGGGTAGAAGAATCTCTGCATCAAAGAAATTGCATGTAAAAGCACTGTGTAAAAGTATTGTGTATCAAATTTATCCCGGCAAGAGACCCCAAACAGCGTGGGGGAATGGGAGGATAATGTAGGATAATGTTGAGGATGATGAGGATGATGAGGATGATGATGATGATGATGATGGGGAGGAGGCGGCGGAGGATGAGAATGTTGCGGACGATGGTGTTGAGGATGATACAGTAATGTTGAGGATGATGATGTTGGGGATGATGAGGTGCAGGAATATGAGGTGAGGATGATGATGTGGAGGATGATGAAGTTGAGGAGGATGAGGGTGAGGATGATAATGCGGAAGATGAAGTGGAGGATGATGAAAAGGATGATAATGTTGCGGAAGATGAGGTGGAGGCTGATGATGTTGAGGATGGTGATGTCAAGGAGGAGGAAGATGATGATGTTGAGGAGGAGGAGGAGGAGGAGGAGGATCCACACTTCGTGCGAGCTTGTGCAGTCGACATGCACTTCGTCACATAACTGTTGCAAAGACAAGCAACAATAGCTGCGGTTAAAAAAGGAGATGAGGTCATGCTGTTTCGTAGCTGCAGCGGCAGGAAGTGAGCGCGAGAGAAGAAACATTACATCCGGCGCAACCGCAGAGAACACCACCTCGGATGCAGCGAATGCTTCGGAAGCGCAAGACTATATGGAAGACAAGACAAGACGAGACAAGACAAGACAAGACGGGCGAAACCCAGCACACCACATCTCGCGCAACCAACAGAACAAGACGGACAGAACACGACAGTACAGGACAACGATCCCCGCCTCGGATGCATCGAATGTTGACTATGGAAGACAAGACAAGACAAGACAAGACAAGAAGGATGAAACACGACACAGGACATCTCGCGCAACCGCAGAGATGGCCGCCTAGGATGTGTGCAGCGAAACAGGGCACGTTACGCCTGCGCACAGCGAAACACGGCACTTTGCATCTCGTGCAACCGCAGATCACCGCCGTGGATGCAGCGAATGCTTCGGAAGTGCAAGCCTATGGAAGACAAGACAAGAGATAAAAGAGTCGACATGCACTTGGGCATTTCACATGCGGAAATTGACAGGGAAAATGCCGCGCCCCAGAGTGAGCACCTCGATCAAACACACCGGCCTTTACCACTACCGTACGAACCCCTCAGTGTGCACACACTGTTTGGGGAAAACACCTGTGTGAGAATGCATCCCTGTGTAAAGGCACCTGTGTGTAAACGCAGCTGCGTCTAAAAGTTCCTCTCTGCAACATCATCTCTGTGAAAAAGTATTTATGTCTTAAAGCGCTTGCGTGTAAAAGCATCTCTCTGCAAGCATTTTTTTTGGTGAAAATGTAAGAGTGAGAATGGATGGAAACCTGATTCCAGAATGGTTTGAGCCCTCCCCTAAACTGTGTTTCCAGCCTCGCCCCACGTAAGAGTTTTTCTGTCTAAAAGTGCCCTAGTCTAAAAGCACCCGTGTGTAAAAGCATCTCTCTGTAAAAAAAACCTGTGCAAAAACACCTCTTCGAAAAAGTATCGGTGAGTAAAAAAACACTACTGTAGGAACCATCTCTGCGTAGGAGTATTTGTGTAAAAGCTTCTGTGTGTAAAGGCTACTTTGTGTCAAAAGAATCCCCGTGTAAAAGCAAATGTATTGGTGGGTAAAAGCATTCCGGTGTAAAAGCATCGCTGTGTAAAGGCATCTGTTTGTAGAAATACCTGCGCATCTGTGTGTAAAAGCTCCTCGTGCCTGTGTAAAAGCACCTGCGCATAAAGGCATTTGAGTGTAAAAGCACCAAGTTTGTGTGTAAAAGCGAGCCTTTGCCAAAAGCATCTCTGTGTAAAAGCACTCATGTGTGAAGGCATCCCTGTGTGTAAGCATCCCTCCCTGTGCAAAAGCAACAAATGTTAAAGGGTGAAAATGGTTCCTTCTCTTGAATGGAAGGGCCGAAACCAAAAGTCAAAAGGCCAAACAAATCAGCGTACAATTTTAGAATCTCTAGGCTGCGTAGTATTTGCGCAAAATTGCTTGGTGTTTGCAGCAATTTTATGCACTTTGCAGCAGCTAGCACCTGTGCACTTGTGCACTGCATGGTTTTGTGCAACATCAGTTCATTGCTCGGAACTTTGCCATCGCGCAATACTTGCAGTAGCGCGAAGCTAACATCTGCAAATTGCATGACTTTTGCAAGATTTGGAATGATATCTGAGAAGCGCGTTATGATTTTACAGCGCTTCGAAGCAAAAATGTGTACACTGTAAAATGCTTGCAGATGTCGAAACCAGAAAAGATCACTTGCACAGCAGCATACCGGGGCAAAATTTAGCGCATCATATCACTTGTAATTAAACCGCATGGCACTTGCAGCATTTTGAACTGGCATCTGTAAATTGGATGCTATTTTGCGGCTTTCTGAAGATCGAAGCTGCAAGCGGAATGGTATTTGCAACATGTTGAAAGTATCATCTGCACAGTGCACATATATTGCACATAGTTGCATGGTGTTTGTAGCGTGTTGCGGCTAAAATCTGTACTGTACAGTAAACTGCACAGTGTTCGCCACATTTTGAAACCAGCATTTGTAAATTGCGTGGGACTTGCAGCTCTTTGAAAGACATGTGTTAAGAAATGGAAGGTGCACGCGCAGCATTTTGGAGCTAGGCCTTTGTTTCTTTCTTCCTGCCGTCCTTCCTTTCTTCCCTCCCTCCCTCCTTCTTTCCCTTTTTAATGCTAATATTTTTTTCCCAAAAGCATCTCCGATGCTTGGGTTCTCGTTTAGTTGCACTCGCCGCGGGGGAGCGAGACTGAGTGGTCGACGGAGATGTGTTGGACGGAAGGAAGGAAGGAAGGAAGGAAGGAAGGGAGGAAGGAAGGGAAGAAGGGAGGAAAGGGACTGAAGGGAAGGAAGGGAAGGAATTTAAGTATTGCCATTCATGGAATTCCTTCCTGTCCTTAACGGCCCCTTTCCATTCCTTGCACTGCCCATATGCCGGCATGTCCGGACGGTACTTAGGGCATACTTTCCGTAAGGGCCTTCCCATTTACGTCCTTTACGTCCTTTTCCTTCCTTCCTTTCCTTCCTTCCCTTCCTTCCCTTCCTTTCCTTCCTTCCCTTCCTTCCCTTCCTTCCCTTCCTTTCCTTCCTTCCCTTCCTTCCCTTCCTTCCCTTCCTTCCCTTCCTTCCCTTCCTTTCCTTCCCTTCCTTCCCTTCCTTCCATTCCTTCCCTTCCTTCCCTTCCTTCCCTTCCTTCCCTTCCTTCCCTTCCTTCCCTTCCTTCCCTTCGCTGGGAGGGAGCGAGACCGGATGCTCGACGGGATGAAGCCGTGGAAATAGCTTGGGCAAACTGCGCTGGGAGGGAGCGAGACCGGATGCTCGACGGGATGAAGCCGTGGAAATAGCTTGGGGAAACTTCGCTGGGAGGGAGCGAGACCGGATGCTGGACGGGACAAAACCGTGGAAAATAGCTTGGGGAAACTTCGCTGGGAGGGATCGAGACCGGATGCTGGACGGGATGAAGCCGTGGAAATAGCTTGGGGAAA